AAAGGAAGTAAGAAGTACTAATCTAGTAGTACACTAGTAGTAAACTTACGTAAATAACTAACCTAACTTACCTACTACCACCACTACTCTCTCTACTACAAACTACACTCTCCTCTCTACTACAACCTACTCTCTCTCTCTCTCTCTCTCTCTCTCTCTCTCTCTCTCTCTCTCTCCAAAAAACCCCATGTAGCAATAAAGAGAGAAGGATAAATGAAGCAGAAAATAATAGAGGAAGGTCATCCATGCTTAAGGACTGAATTTCCTCAATGAAAGGGAAAACAGAGGAGACCTTATACAATGGTTCTAGCTCAGCAAATATCAGGAAAACCCAAAATTCAAAATAAGGATTCAATGACCACTGAACTCCATGAATTAAAAATAAAATAAAAATCCCAGATTATAAAAGAACCAGCACAAAATTTCTCTAAAGTGTTGCAAGAAAGAAACCTTTGTGTATTTCCTGAACAATTGATAGTTCAATTTTGCAGTGCTAAAAAATTTCACAGTAAAATGGTTAATTGGGTACCTGGATTTGAGCTCAGAATGATCGAAAAGGAAGCAACCATGGCTAAAGCCCTCTGTAAAACCTGGGACTTTGCAGTGAAAGCGGGAGCTCTATGCGTTGCACCCCTTTCTTTAGCACTAAAAGGCCCACTTTTCTGAATATACAAATCCATGAGAGAGAATCGATTTTCTCCATTACCCAAAGTCACCACTTTTTGAGGCCTTTGGGGCTTTAAAATGGGGACACAGGGTGGTGAAAGACATGTGGAAAGCATGGTTACTGGCTTTTTTGAGAGAATCTGGCTCAATGATTTGAAGGACCGATGACTATGTGAATGAAAATCCCATTGAAATCATAGGATCAAGAAGCCCAGATCTACAAAATAGAGTGAGAAACAAACAGAAGCTTACTTGAAATAATGCTCACTAATTGTGGAGTTAGAAGCTTATCCACTGTGTAGAGAAAGAAGAGCCGGAGAGAGGGCGGGGGTTAGAAAATACATATATTGTAGAGATTTTATACACTATTTTTTTTTCTGATACACAAGTATCCTAATCATTAGTTATCTTTATGATTTGGGATGTGTTGCGAAGTTTAATAAAAAAAATTTATGAGCTTTGAGTCTTGATTTGAAATTTGATGGACTATTCTGTAAAAGGCGCAGTTGTCGTACGGACGCTCTCGTAAGTATAAAGATACGGCCCTGTCTGAATTTTATTATGGTATATAATTTTGAAGTAAAATTATTAGGATTATTTCAAAATTTATTTTTATATTTAATTGTAAAATTTTAAATTTTAAAAATAATTAAAACCAAATAAATCTATAAACATATGAAAATCTTGAAAATAGACGATGTAGGTAATATATTGTAAAATACACTATTTTTGAAACTTAATTTTTTTTTATTTTTCATAGGCATATATCTCGATATCCAGATGATCAATCAAAAGGTTTTTCAACATTAAAACTACCTCTTATTGATTTTTGAGGGGCATCTGTAGTTCTACATTATAAGGTAAGATACTTATATAAACTTTTTCCTTCTCTAAATGGATTGTCTAAATGGAAAAAATGTATATAATGTTGAGGCCCTAAATAATGGCTTATTTCAAAAATTTACTAGAATAAGTTGTTTCGATGTGGAAAAATCTTTAAATCCGATCATTTCAACCATTAGATATATGGACATTACAAAAAATAGACTTCAAATCTTGAAAGTGGTGTTTTCTTGTAATGCATTATCTATACGGTTAATTATCAAGATTTTCAAGTGTTCATAGATTTACTTAATCTACACTATTTTTTAAGCTTTAAATTTTGTAATTAGATATGAAAGTAAATTTTTAGGCCATCATCAAGATTTTTGGGCAGAAAAGACATCTTTTGACATTATTTGAAAGTGCACCTTACTTTGATTATTTAGGGCCTAAGCCATGTACAAACCACATCGAGTTTATATAAGGTTGATACATTAAATTGTAGAATTAGGGTGTACCTCAATGATACATTGGAAAAGCCTATTTTGACGTTAGAAAATCATCTAATTGATCATCTCCACATCGAGATGTCTCGATATGGGGAAAAAAATATTTTCATACATCTTACAACACATTATCTGGATAATTTATTTTTAAGATTTTCATGCGTTTATAGATCTGTTTGATTTAAACTATTTTTTAGAGTTTAAAATTTTATAATAAGAGATGAAAATAGATTCTTGGCCATCCTAAAAATTTTGAAATCAAAATTCCATGACAAAGTTTGAAGGCCCGTACCTTACTTTGATTATTTAAGGTTGCAACCATATGCAAACCATACCCTTATATAAAAAGAAATATATATAATGAGACCATTTATTTTGAATACAAGGATTGTTGAGGATGTGTCCTTATTTGGACACAAGGTCCAAAACAATATTTCTCGAATGTTGGTAACACACTTTCATCTATTAGATTTCATATACAATGACTAAAAGTGATTGTGACCACTTTTTACTAAAATAAATGGTCACTTTTACTAAAAATACATAATCAATTCTACCGGATTAGAAATTGTAGGGCCAAAGGTATACCATCTGACATGCTAAAATATGAGGAAATTCATTCTGATTTTATGTACAGAAATGTCACATCTTGATTGCTTGATTTCACATATGCTGGCACGAAGTATTTGTGAGATTTGCATACAAAGGTAATCAATCTCCGATCCCATTCCTCTTTTTCGAAAGGAAAATTGTTTCATGCGGATTGAACTGCATTTCTACATATGCGGTCCAAAAAGTGTAAAGCATCCATCTTAAAGATGGATGTAAGTAAGTGTTCCATCTAAAAATAACAGAAACTAATGGTCCAAATATTTTATTACTAGAATTATTATTTTAGTTTTTTAAAATTTATTTATTTATTCATATTCATGATCTCTATGTTAGAGATTACATGTCCTTAAAAATTAAGTCTTAAAATCCATTTCAAAAAAAGATTTATTAAGAGGCCCGTAGTTCTACATATATGGGCTTGGCCGCATAGAATCCGGGTTCTTTTCCAAATGATTATAGTTTTATACAAATAGTGTGGTCTGCATAAGGTTGCAACCACTTCCAAACTTTGTTATATGATACAATTTTGGTGTAAAAAATGACACATAAATCTATTTTCCTCTCTAATTATGAGATTCTAAACTCCAAAAATGATTCAAATCCAACAGATCTATAAACACATGAAATTCTTGAAAATAGATGGTCTAGATAATGTATCACAAGATGTATTATTTTCGGGACTTCCAATCTTTCTCTTTTTTTCCAGATCCATATATTTCAATATTAAGATGATCAACTAGATGGTTTTATAAAATCAAAATATCGTTTTTCGACGTATTTTAGAGGCACACCTTGTTGGGTTTATGTGGTCTTATGAGTGTGTAATGAAAAACATTTACTATAGTGGAACATAAATTCAGTGGGAGTGATGTCCATCGAAGACCATACTAAGCAAATGGTATTTACGGATAACGGACTGTGACTTGACGATCTAGGCCAGTCCGTTGGAAAACCTAAGGTACCCGGGCATAAAAAAAAACCGAGAAGGGTTTTTGGGTTAGCCCTTGATGAGATCGGAGCTTATGCCTAAATGAGTGAGCCGATGGACTGTGTGACCCTTGTGCGTGATGGTAGGCTTACAGAGATAAGGGCCAAAATCTCATCCATGTTCCATCACACGGTATGCATATAGATAGATCATTTGGGAAAGCTAGATATCCACCTTTAGGTGAAGCATATGCATGTGCAAGAGATACCCCTATGCACCATAGAGCTGTGGTCGAATCGATAAAGCAAGTGTAGTTTGTAGTCCACAGTTGAAGGTGGAATACCCATGAACGTTGATTGAATTCTTGAACCATATGGATCCACTTTCCATCATATTAATTTAATTGTGTTGATTTTATTATTAAATTATTTTAGATTTATTATTTGAATTTTTATAAGTCATTTGATATTTATTTCTTATTTTTGGACTTATAAAAATGAAGTTATTAATTTACAAAGATATAATGTTTTAAAATTCATTTTGTTTAAATTTTAAAATATTTATTAAAAAAAATACATGGGAACCCATAGTGCACATGGGCCCACCATGTGGGTATTAGGTGAGTCCCCACATACCATACATGGGTGGCACGCCCCACCCTTGGATACCTTATTTTGTTGCTTTGTCTTCAAGTTTGTTAAATATGGTAACTACATCTTGTAGCATGTGGTCATATATTGATTAGGAAATATTAACCATATCTTATCTTGATTATT